ATTTTCCATGTCCAAAGATGAAAAATAACTCTTCAACCATTTTTTCGAGAGCCACTGCCTAAATGACAGGTTTATCACAATTTAGGAAGACGATAGACAAACTTTCGATTCTAGCACACTCTAAGGGAGCAGCAGCCTTGTCTATTGAATGCTTGATGGCTCAATATACTAATCCTAAGCTCTCACGTTTGATCCTACAGGCAAGCATAAAACTCAGATGCTTTAAATGTGTGCTAGGTGACCACATTGGCAAGTCAAAGAGGAGATTAATCAAGTTTTTTCTTTTTCTTCTGAGTTCCACAACATGTTTGTGTAGGGTGGAAATTTGAAACTCTATTCTCTTAGTTGAGCATTATGCTTTAACCAGCTACATTTAACATTGAAAACTTATTTTGGACCGCACGCAAGACTATTTCCAATCTAATCCTCAAAAGGTAAAAGGTGAACCAAGTCACCTTCTCACGAGACCACAATATCAAGCCCAACAAGTAAGAACGGAGATCGGGATCGACATTTTTCATACAACCATATATCGAGGACTATTAGAGGGAGTCAATTTAGTTTTTTAAGAAAGAACAAAAAAGTTTTCAACGACCAAATACGAGGTTGTTCCTCAAAACCAAGCACTGAGGGACATGAAAGTCCAAGCTTTTTCCCCTTTATATTGAGACCATAAATGACCTTGATATTCCATTATTTTTTCTATAAAGTGTGGAGGAATGCATGCAACCAATATATCACCTCACATTGTTTGTCTTGTCAGACTACCACTCACCTCATGTAAAACCTTTGCTTATCAGCTTCGTAATTTGTACAAAAAGAGTTCTAATCCAAAAGGGAAGGAGGTAACTTTGGCGGAAATAGGAGCTCCAAAAGCTAGTAAAACCAAGTTACTAATTTCCTAACAGGAAGAATAAGATGCAAATAGATATTTACTTTTAACCTTTCAGCCAATGGCTCAATTAACAGTTACAAATTAGAATTGGTTATGGAGAATTCATAAGTTCATCTATTAAGACAGACTAGCAATATCGTTTCCTCCTATGACAAAGATGAACTCGAAAAGGATGGCTATCCTCGACAGAAATTTGAACCAGTCCTTTCATCAGCTTGATGGGGAGAAAAGAGAAACATTCCTACTAGACTTCAGGCATGAATCTCATAAATCCCCCACCGTGGTTCGTGGTTCAGGGATGAGTTTCAATCAAAAGGGTACCTCAACTGAAAGAATCTCTAGGTAACCTGATAGAACAACTTAACGTTTTGTTTGACCAATACAAAGTTCCTTCCTCACCGGGATTACAATTAACTCGAGGAGATCATGCCAAGGTCCTCAAACATGGAACAGGAAGCAAGGCTATTAATTTGAGAAAGAATTACATGTATTCCCATTTATTACCAACGTTGACTGGACAAAATTCATAAAATGAGAACCATTCTGCATTCCTACTTCATAAGAGGAAACTATGTTACATCGGAACAGAAACAATATGTCATGGCAAGATACAGTGACTAAAGCAGAGTTCAAATCGCATGGTCCAGGGACCTAGTGAACTTGTGGACTGGAAAAATCTAACGAAAGCCAATTATGAGTATGACATAAAATGAATTCTGTGCAGTATGACAAAGTTAAACATATACATAAAATGGCAAGATTTTTTCTTTCCCTGCCTCAAGGGTTTTTATTCTGAACACCATTTTATAAATACTGCCTCAGAATAGAACAAATTGTTTTGATTCCTAAAAGGCAGAAAAGAATTTTAAATGCGAACTTCAGATAGCATCTTAGTAATCCTATTCTAACCATCACAGATCATCCCATAAAAAGGCACAAGAACTGCCTTTGATCACCTACGGACCTATTCCAAGTTTCCAATTGTTAGAACTGACTTACCTTTTTCCAACCCGAGCATAGTTTAACTGATTTAGGTCCAAAGTTTAACGCTTATTTGGATCGCAAAGATTATTTCATGGTATAGATTAAAAGTGATTACGAAGTTGGGGACGGAGAGTTTTACCACATCCCACCCCAATCCACATGAACCTTTTGACTGAAACCATCAGAAACTTCTGCTCAATTGCTTAAAGGAAAAACTTGTATAACAAAAGGAATACTTTTCCTCATAAATGTGAGACAGAAACGAAGAGAGAAAACTATATTTCGAAATTGAATCTAGCTTTTCACCCCCAATCGGCTTCCTGGATAGCAAACCCAACAAAAACAACAGGAACAATTAAAAACTTACAATGCTGCCATGTGTTTCCAGCCAGATCCTCAGCCTTTTTTGTTGCTTCCCCGACTTTCTTCCCCCATCTCCCTAGCACGGTCCATGCAGAATCAACCGCCTCTGATCAAAATGCATCGAAAATCAATGAGAAACAAAAACTTACTGTCGCCGCACGAAGGCACATATACAAATCAATGAAACAGAACCAAATATCAAAGTCAGAGAAACTACCTTTGAAGGAAATTGAAGAAGGGGCCAAAGAAGCATGAGAATTCGACCCATATGCACTCGAAGCAACGGACGGGGACTCGGTGACCAATTCGGTGCTCCAACGCACCGATTTCTTGGACCCGGAAGAGGGCGTTGAAATCGCAGGTTGCTCGTTCTGGGTCGGAATCTTGTTCTCCGAACCCATCACGAAATTGCCCCAATTCCCATCTCCATTGGCGGTCTGGTCTACCTCCTTAGGATCGGATTTTGGGCTCTTATCGTCTCTCGAGATCGGAGGTTTGTTCCCGCCCTCTTGCTTCGGCTGCTCCATCTAAAATTCTTCTGAAGCAGAGTAAGCGGATCGTGCTGGGTATTTTAGTTTGGGGAAAATTGCGGGATAGAGGGAAGGCTTGACGGGGAGGGGGCTAATGGCCGGACGAAGAAGACGACCCTTCTTTTTAGCGCGCAGGGGAAGCAAATTGGATCTGGTGCCGTATTATTTAGATGATCCAGGTGCCAAGGTGGGCTGTTCAAACTCCATACTCGCTTTCCTTGGGAAAGGCTAATTTTAGGACCATTATTATTTTTTTCATCAAAAGTCACGATATTTTAGATAAAATTATAGTTTTTTTTTTCTTTTCTTTTAGTTCATAAAATTATAGTTGATAATTTAATATTGATTTATGATGCTATATACTTTCTTCTCTAATCCCTAATCTTGGTGCTCTTTTTTCAGTTTAGTGACTTAACGATGAAATAGAATGTTTTTTTTTTTAATTTTTTTTTTAAATTAGGACTAAAGTTTTTTTTTTACTATAATATTCAATTAATTTATTATAGATAATTGGAAAAAAAAAACGGTCTTTTTGTCGATGTGTTTCAATCCAAGACATTGATTTCTGTCCGTTTAAAGTTTGTCTTTAATAAATGTGTATGCCTTATAGCAATATTAATAATTAATTTTATGTGCGTTTAGTTCGTGATTTAGTAAGCACGGTTTTTTTTTTTTTTTTTAATATAATTTTGATTTATGATGAGCTTGCTTTTGGTTTTCTCAAATTAAGTGGATACCTGGATTAGGGAGGCTGTTGGGCTCATTTTTTCTCATAAAATCACTAAATTTAAATTCCCATTTTCACAAAATAGTTAAATTACCTTCTTTTTTTTATATTTATTTATAAATAGTCAAATACGAAAAAAATAGTTTAATAAGGCCATGTACCAAAATTGAAAAAAAAAATTGTGTAATAAAATAACAATGAACTGAAATCTAAAATAAAATCTAAATAATTTATTTGAATAAAAAAGTGTTAATTTAAAATCAAAACAAACAAATTAATTTTTGTAATAAATTATTTATTTTAATTTGACTAGCCTTAGTCAACTTTACAGATCATCAAGAACCGTCATATCAAATACAAGGAATGTTATTTATATTGGCGGTACACGCGTCGGGTTGTAGTGGGGTATGATCAACTCCGCGCTGGCGTGGCGTGGGTCACCCACCAACTTCCCTATTTTACGACTTTCTACCCTCCCTTTTCAACCCAACCAAAAATATATATATATATATATATATCAGAGTAGTTTTAGAAAAGTCTTTTTAAATTTTTTCTATTAATTCAAATGTTTAATAAAAACTATAGTAAATAACGGGTAAAAAAAAATTACATTTTTCAAAACTCAAATAATTACCAAACACTTTTTTTAAGCATATAAATATTATTCTTATTGATTTCTTTTTAATCATCCAATTATGGGGGTATATTTTCAAAATCAAAGACAGGTTAAAAACAAGTGTATAGATATATATTTGAAATTTGAGAATCAATTGTTTACTTTTTTTTTTTTTTTAACAAAGCAAATATAAGCCATAAAAACCATTGTAAATAGATGGTAAGAAATCAAACAAAAGTAAAAAAAGAAAAAAAAGAAAAAAAGCAGAATAGTTTTAAAATTACCTTAAAACTGAATTAGATGGTAAAGAATTTACGGTCTAATGCTCACCACAACAAATACATGTACAAATGAGTTATACAAATTGATTGAAATATGTATACATTTATTAGATGAGTAAATATTACGTGATAATAATAATAAGAATAAGAATAAGAATAATAATAGTAACGACAGTTAGGCCACAACTATTATTACTCTATTTTCCGGGGGTCGATTTTTCAAATGATTTGTCTGCTTTTTCCATTTATGGCGGCTACCCAATTCCTTTCACGCAACTCTACGCCTACACATATCAAATATTTCAACGCAAATGAATGCGCAAGATTCAAATTTACAGCAGGCTCCTTGCCGCCACGTGTACTCGTTTTGACAGCCTGGACTAACTTTTTCTCAGAAAGTTACAAACCCTCTGGCAGGTCCTAATGTCCCACCGACATTTCTCGAACTGACACCTGGTTGATCCAACGGGAATGTGTGATTTCTTAAGCGTTGAGAAATCTAAACGCGTACACGTGTCCCATTCTGGGTAGCTTGTTTACTTGGTCAACCTGCATCTGATTCCTCTGGAAGGCTCCTTTGCTATGGTTATATATATAGGGACTCGCACCGCCTCCTTGCTTACGGATACAAGAGTAGCAAAGCGAGTCGTTCCTTTTACAAAGCTGTTGTTTGGCTTCCACTACCTTTCTCCAAGATACTCTCTCCTGAGAAGATATTTCTTTTTTTTTTTTTTTTATTTACGAAAAAGACGATGGGGTCCTCTGGGGTTCGATTGGTCGTGATTTTTGCTCTGATGGCGTTGTGTACGGCACAGGCGCCAGCGCCGACACCAGCACCGGCACATGATTCCCCAAAGCCTATGCCTCCCACCCCAGCCACGCCGGCGCCTTCTCCGGTTGCATTCCCTCCATCTCCGTCTCGGTCGCCAATCAGAGCACCATCACCCTCACCGACCTCGGCGTCGCCCTCACCTGCTACAGAGGCTCCATCACCGGCACCGTCGGCACATGCTCCTGCTCCAGAGACTAAAGCGCCTACCCCATCTCCGGCGACTAGTGCACCCACCCCAGCTCCCAGCTCCCGACCTGTTCCTTCGGGGTCTCCCGCCGGTGCTCCTGTAGTTCCACCAATCGCTTCTCCTCCTTCACCCAGTACAGACGGGCCTTCACCGATGCCCGAAGCACCAGCGGCCGATAGCCCAGCTGGAGCGGCGTCGCACATCGGCGGAGCGACAACGTTGGGGATCGCTATTGCTGGAACTCTGTTGGCAATGGTTGTAGCGTAGATTGTATCAAGTTTATGCAAAACTGTGCCTCACACTATTGAGGACATATTCTATTTATATTGGCAAAAGATTAACTAATAGATCCGATTTCATAGGAAACTAACGAAGTAAGCCTATTCTTATGGCATGACTAACTTCAAGCTATTCTAATGGATTGACCAATTCTAACAGTCCCCTTCAATCCCAACAAGTCTTGTACATGTTGAGATTGTTACAATGTGTAGTAAAAGGAGTTTTAGACAGTGGTTTTGTCAGGATATCAGCTACTTGATCACTTGATGAAATGAACCGAACTTCCATTGCTTTACGTGCTACTTGTTCTCGAACAAAATGAAAATCAACTTCAATATGTTTCGTTCTAGCATGAAATACTGGATTTGAAGTTAAATATGTAGCTCCGAGGTTGTCACACCAGAGGCGAGGAGCCTTTGATTGATACACGCCCAGTTCCTTCAGTAATGACTTGATCCAAATCATTTCTGCAGTAAGATTCGCAATGGCCTTGTATTCTGCTTCGGTGCTTGATCTTGACACTGTAGCCTGTTTTCTGGAACTCCATGAGATTAGATTTGCTCCAAGAAATACAGCAAAGCCGCTAGTTGAACGTCGATCATCGGGACAACCAGCCCAATCAGCATCAGAAAACCCCGACAACATCATGGTTGATTTCTGAATTTTCACTCCTAATGCTAGTGTGCCTTTAACATAACGAAGAATTCTCTTCACAGCACCCCAATGAGCATCAGTAGGTGTATGAAGATATTGACACACTTTATTGACAGCAAATGCCAAATCAGGCCTAGTCATTGTCAAATATTGTAGTGCTCCCACTGTACTTCTGTATTTGAATTGTTCTTCAGCTGATAAGGGTATTCCTTGTTCTCTGAATAATTTTTCAGCAGAACCCATTGGTGTAGACATAGGTTTGCATTTTTCCATGTTTACTCTTTTCAACAAATCTAAGGCATATCGTCTCTGTGACAGTATGATACCATCTCGTGTTTTCTTGACTTCAATACCCAGAAAATACTCAAGACCACCCAAATCTTTTACTGCAAAATCTATTTTCAATTTCTGAATCAACCTTTCGGTTGCTTGATCAGAGGAGCTCACAATAATTATATCATCAACATAGATGAGCATATAGATAGTTATCTCTCTGTTTTTGAGAATAAAAAGAGATGAATCAGCTACTGAAGCCTTGAAGCCTAACTCAATAAGTTTTCCAGTCAACCTTGAATGCCAAGCTTTTGGGGCTTGTTTCAGGCCATAAAGGGCTTTCTTGAGCTTGCATATGTAATTCTTTGGTTTGGCTGAGTCTTGAAATCCTGGTGGTTGTCGCATGTACACTTCCTCTTTCAGAATTCCATGCAAAAATGCATTTTGGATATCAACTTGTCTCATATTCCAGCCCTTGGTTACTGCTAGCGAAAGAATGACCCTGATTGTTGACGGTTTGATCACAGGGCTAAAAGTATCAGTGTAATCAACACCAAATCTTTGCTTGAATCCTTTGGCAACTAATCTTGCTTTTAATCTTTCAACTGACCCATCTGCTTTTCTTTTCACTTTATACACCCATTTACTATCAATGAGATTTATTCCAGGTTTGGGTGGAACTAGATCCCAAGTGGCATTTCGTTTTAGCGCTGAGAGCTCATCATTCATTGCTCCTCTCCATCTTGGATGTTGCATGGCTTCCTGCAGGTTTCGAGGTTCAGTAGCAGTCTCTATGATCGGAGTTGTGATAGTTACAGCGCTTGCGAATTTTCTTGAGGTTTCTGAATATCTGATAGTTCCATCAGTGAATTGTTTAGCTTGTACAATGTTATTTCTCAACCTTGTTCGCATTGGATGTTGACTAGCTGCTTCAGTTGGTTGATCAGACACATGTTCATGAGTTTGGTTTTGAGCATTGATCGAACTGCTCTCAGCTTCATATTCTGCAATTTCCTCTGAACTTCTTGTATTATCTGCAGAAGATAAGCTGACACCAGACAAGTTGTCACTAGCAATATTATCAGTTTGACCATCATTCATATGGGAATTACTAACAACTGGTTCAATATCTGTAAGAGCATTTTCAGTGTAAAAACTAGCAAGTTTGGCTAAGGCTGGAAGTAGAACAGGATGATGTGGATTTGTGGTTTTGTTTGGTGGCTTAGATTCTTCAAAAGGAAAAATATTTTCATCGAAAACCACGTCTCTAGAGATGTAAATACGTCCTGTACTTCTATTTAAGCATTTATATCCCTTATGAGAAGAACTATAACCCAAGAATATACATCTAGTAGTTCTGAAACTCAGTTTCTTGTTGTTGTAAGGCCTTAAATTAGGCCAGCAAGCACAGCCAAACACCCTAAGCATGGAGTAGTCTGGACTTTTACCAAACAATTTATGAAGTGGTGTGTCTTGTTGTATGGTTCGGCTGGGCATTCTATTTATAAGAAAGCAAGCTGTGTTGAAAGCTTCATCCCAGTAGGATAGAGGCATGTTGGCTTGAGCGAGTAAAGCAAGGCCAGTTTCTACAATGTGTCTGTGTTTTCTTTCGACTAACCCATTCTGCTGGTGTGTGTGAGGACAGGAGATATGATGTTCAATGCCTGTGGATTTGAAATAATTGTGTAACCGATGGTATTCACCCCCCCAATCTGATTGGACGGAGCGAATTTTGGTATTTAGCATAGTTTCAACATGTTTTTGAAATTGAAGGAACACAGACTCAACATCAGATTTGCATCTCAGAAAGTAAATCCAAACATAACGACTAAAATCATCAACAAAGGAAACATAATATTTGGAATTATTTACTGACGCAATGGATGGACCCCATACATCAGTGTGAATTAATTGAAGGGGTGCTGTAGATACATGCTGAGAAGAACCAAATGGCAATTGATGTGCTTTCCCTAATTGACAAGCATTACAAATTGAGGAAGAGGGAATATTAGTATCTATAGCTAAATTATTATCTTGTAGAATTCTAATGGTAATTGGAGATGCAGGGTGCCCTAGCCTTCTGTGCCATTGTTCTTTCGAAAGTTTGGCTGTCAGCAAGGCTTGACTGAAATTATGCGGTAGAACGTATAGGCCATTCTTACATCTACCGTGGAGCAGGAGTTTCTTCGTGACTCGGTCCTTAACCAAAAAATAGTTTGGGTGAAATTCTACAACAGCATTATTATCAGATGCTAGTCTTTGTACTGAAATTAGGTGCTTATTGATTTTAGGAACATATAGGATATGTTTCAGAACAAGAGATGAACCAGAAATTAATGAATTCCCAATATGAGAGATAGACAAACCTGCGCCATTTGCAACCTGAATTTGGTCGGTGCCAGTGTAGCGTTCTCTGGTGGTAAGCCTCTCTAGGTCATTGGTGATATGATCTGTGGCTCCAGTGTCAACATACCAGTTTGTGTCACTAGTGTATCCACTTGTTGCCAAAGCTGCTTGTTTGAGATTATTTTCGGCTTGATATGCCTGATCAAATCTGTGCCAGCATTGCAAAGCATCGTGATTGGGCTTACCACAAATCTGACAGACAATGCCTGAGCTGCTTTGTGTCTTTGATGGTTGACGTCCAGGATTGTTCACAGTACGCCTTGATTGTCCATGACCACTATTTAACTGACGACTACGACCGCGACTACCTCGACCTCCATTGGCACCTCCACGAATGGATATCCTATTGACATTGTTAGCAGATGAAAGTTGCTCAAATGTACCCTTACGCAAGTGCCGCATCTCATAGCTCAGCATGTGAGCATACACGTCGCTGACAGTGTATACATCTGTTCTGGTTGTAATGCTTGTGACTAGAGGATCATAATCTGGACCAAGTCCTTGCAGCATGTAGGCGATGAGTTCTTCATCCTCTATTCGCTTGCCAATGGCAGCAAGTGTATCACCAAGATGTTTTACTTTACGAAAGTAGTCAGCAATTGTCATGTCCTTTTTCTGGATAGTAGAGAGTTCCATACGGATCTGCATTGCTCTTGCTCGAGATGTGGAAGCAAATTGTCGCTCCAGCGTAATCCAGGCTTCTCGTGCAGTGGTGATTCCAACCATCGTGCTGAGAACCTCCTCAGTGACTGATGAGTTGATGAGGCTGAGTACCAGCTGGTCCTGGGGGTACCAGACTGTGAACTCAGGGTTGATGATAATTTTGCGATTCCCTGTTTCTTCACTTGGTTCAACGGCGATCGTCTGGCTTGGTGCAGGCATGGATCCATCCACAAAACCAACAAGGTTTTGGCTACGCAAGTAGGGAAGGATTTGGGTAGACCACAGTAGATAATTTTCTTGTGTAAGCTTAACACTAATCACCTGACTGATCGACGGAGAAGACATTGTGTTGTTTGGGATTGACATGTCTAACAGCAGAGGCTATGGATCTCGTGGATCTTATTTCGGCTCTGATACCATATCAAGTTTATGCAAAACTGTGCCTCACACTATTGAGGACATATTCTATTTATATTGGCAAAAGATTAACTAATAGATCCGATTTCATAGGAAACTAACGAAGTAAGCCTATTCTTATGGCATGACTAACTTCAAGCTATTCTAATGGATTGACCAATTCTAACCGATTGAAGTAATGGGTATATGTGAAGGTGGGTTGCACTGATGGGTGATTGAATCCTCTGCCTTTCTAATTCCCTTATACACAGCCTTTACAAAATTAGATTACTGTCGTTATTATATATTTTTTTAATCTTGGACATTGAGAGAGCTGGTTTTGTAATTTTGGTAGTCATGTTTATTTGAGGACTCATCGTTCTTGTGTTCATCATTGTTGTGCCCATTTCATTTATACATAAATCACTCCTCTGTACATCAGATTAGAGATTAATAAAATTGCTAATCTTCATTTTTTCTAAAAAAAATTATGTTATCAGTACATTTATATGGTAGCATTAACCCTGCTTTCAAATTTCTTTCAATAATGGCAAAATAAAGCAAAATTGAGTTCTATAACTAAAAATAAAATAATTGAATTTGCAATCATAAAAAGCAAATTCCAATTTCAATTCCACCCAGCATCACAGAGAAAAACAAAAGTTTCAACCATTTTTAATAAATCATATGATTATCATTAGAGATCTCGTTTTGACAATGAGACTCGTCTGGATTGTCAATTTTATAATAGATGTCATTTATTAAATAAATAAAAAAAAAACAATCTTCATTAGAGATGTTATCATGAATATCACGAAGCTAATTTTGCTTTCATATGCCTTCTTTTCCCAACCAAGTTACTAAAATTCATCAAAATCCTTATAGAAAATAACAAATTTACGCACTCTTAAAATTATAGGCTGAATATTTATTTAAGATAAAAAAGAAAAGAAACGTGGAGTTTGCCAAGGAAAGCAGAAGGACGAGATTGGTTCTATTTCTGGAATGCACTTTCGTTTGTCTGTCCCACATCGGTGAAGCCTTAAAGAAGCAAAGCGCACACCACTTATAAAATGAGATCAATGGGCTTCATCGAAACATACTTACCTGGACGGGGCTTTTGGGTGATCATGAAGGCCCATGGCCTAGGTTGGTGACCTCCATTGCACTCAGGAGGGGTGCCCGCCTAAGGTCTGTCCAATGTGGCAGAGCCTACGTCATAATTTGTGGCAGTGGGGGCCTGCGTTCGCGCGGCCCCTCACATAACGAGTAAAAATTATTTTAGTTCTTTTTTTAATCAAATTGTCTTTTTGTTATGGATATTTTGTACGAATGTCTTGACATCACATAATGGTGATGCAGTGGCACGTGGGGATCTGCATTCAAATATCTTCCGACTACTGGAGGAGTCGAACGCGGCTTCCCTCTCTGTCATTTCCTCTGTCTTTAAGAAGCCAGCTTGTATAAAACAGGGAATGGGAATCTGGTAGAGGGAAGGGAAGGAGTCGAATAATAAAATATTTGATCTGGAAACTTCATTCTCTTCCATTTTAACAAACTTATCACAAATAGTTTTATTTACTGTAATCCTCAGAGAGTAAGATTTCCTCTCACCCTATTCTGTTTGGAGCAGGTCCAACATCTCACCCATCAAATATTATGGAGTTGATAATATAGATGCAATCGTTAAAATAATAATGACATACAATCCAATCCTAATGACCAATGAAAACTAATTTCAATGTAGTGGTTAAGATGTATTAAAGTAAAATTCATCTAATTAAGTTATATCATCTCCTGGTATATAATATACAAATAATTATTCCTATTTGAATTATCAACTTGAGGGATAAAGTTATTTGGACTTCTTCTATTGACAAGACAAGAGATGGTTCCTAATATGCATAAGTTTCCCCAAATAAATTAAACAAAAAAGCTCAAACAATCCAAATCAACTACTACATAAATAATGCAATCAAAAGCAAAGCAGCGAAAACTTCCGATACCAGCCAAGCCAATTGTCAAAATTTACCGCATTCTTAAACACATTCAATTAGTGGTGGCGCGTAGAGTAAAAAACATGTTCTTAATAACCTTAAATACTATCGTGTCAGCCACACAGATGACTATCATCCACAACTCCAACAACCATTTTTTCCTCTCATTCTTGGCCGACAATCGGAGGCATAAATTTTAGTATCATGGGCGATGATCACCAAACAAACGTTCCTTTACTGGAAGATTCAACTGAAATATTACATCCTGGAGACCCAGACAAGGATCAAAATTCTGAAGATATTGTAACACGGGTGTGGATTGAATCCAAGAAGCTATGGCAGATCGTCGGCCCTGCAGTCTTGAGCAGGATAAGTACCTACTCCGTTTTAGTAATCTCCCAAGTCTTCGCCGGTCACTTGGGTGACCTTGACCTTGCCGCCGTTTCCATCGCCCTCAACGTCATCATCGGCTTTGACTTCGGACTTATGGTACTAACTGACATTCAAAATTCTTTCCAGTTCAGTTCTTCCTATGTTCAAATTTTACTCAGTTCTTCTTCTTTTTTTTTTCTTTTTTTTTTTGTGGGGCTAATTGTTGAGATGGGGATGGCAAGCGCATTGGAGACGCTGTGCGGGCAGGCTTACGGGGCGAAGAAGCACTACATGCTGGGAGTGTATTTGCAGCGCTCATGGATGGTTCTGTTCATTTGCTGCGTTTTGTTGTTGCCTGCTCTGGTGTTCGCATCTTCGATTCTTAAGGTGATAGGGGAGCCTGATGACTTGGCGGATCTAGCGGGGGTCTTAGCCAGATGGTTGATTCCGCTGCACTTCAGCCTTGCGTTTTACTTCCCTTTGCAGAGGTTCTTACAGAGCCAAGTGAAGGCCAGGGCGATTATGTGGGTTGCGATGGTGGGACTTGCAGTGCACGTGGCCGCCAGCTGGGTATTTGTGGGCTTGTTGAAGATGGGAGTGGTGGGTATTGCGGTGGCATGCAATATTTCTTGGTGGGTTCTGCCGATTGGGCTCATGGCTTACACCACCTGTGGTGGCTGCCCCAACACTTGGACTGGATTCTCCGTCGAAGCCCTCACCGGTCTTTGGGACTTTCTCAAGCTCTCTGCTGCTTCCGGTGTTATGCTATGGTCTCTGCCTCGAATTAATTCAAACATTACAACTTATTTCCTTCCTCTGTTTGTTAATATTAGCATTTGCAATTCATAAACTTTCAGTCTGGAGAATTGGTACTACAAAATATTGATAGTGATGACGGGAAACATGAAGAACGCCAAGATTGAAGTGGATGCTTTATCCATCTGGTCTTTCTATATCCCTTTTCTATCTTCTTACAAAGGAAAAATGAATGATAATCTTGTTCTGATTGCAGCATGAGCATCAACGGACTAGAAATTATGATTCCTCTGGCGTTCTTTGCTGGTACAGGGTAAATGATTAATTACTACTCTTCCAATTACATATATATACATATTTAGATTAGAAGATACCCATTGATTGTAACAAAACAGAGTGAGAGTGGCAAATGAGCTCGGGGCAGGGAATGGAAAAGGAGCCAAGTTTGCAGCCATCGTCTCATCGGCGACATCATTAATAATCGGCCTTGTATTTTGTTGCTTGATAGTGTTACTTCGCGACAAATTTGGTCTTCTTTTCTCGTCCAGCACCATCGTGCTTCAGGAAGTCAACAAGCTCAGCATCCTGTTGGCCTTCACCATCCTCTTCAACAGTGTCCAGCCAGTCCTCTCCGGTAAGCCGCCTATATTTCAAAAGGGAATGTGGGTGCTACATTTAATGCCTTGATTCATTTCCCTTACCAAATCAAATTTGGTCCCAATATATAGGAGTGGCGGTTGGATCAGGTTGGCAATCGTACGTAGCTTACATAAACTTGGGTTGCTATTATTTCATTGGTTTGCCTGTTGGGATGTCCACACTTAAGTTCTCCGACCTTGGTGTGAAGGTATTAACATCAACATTCAACTCCACATTTAGCAGTTAAATTATGAACTATATGATAATTTATATATTTATGTTCATCAAAGGGAATTTGGATGGGGATGATTTTTGGAGGAACAGGAATCCAGACACTCATATTGCTCATCATTACTATTCGATGTGATTGGGAAGGAGAGGTATGCTCTCATATTCATTCATTTTATCTGCTTACTTTAAACACTAAATTTGATATAAATCTTATGAAAATGGATGGATGACTGTCTCTCGCAGGCTAAGAAAGCAAGTTTGCGGATGCAGAAATGGTCAGATCAACGGTTTGAGCGAAAGGGATGAAAATCTTCGTTTCATTATCCAATATGTGATGCACGATGTTTAATACATTGAAATTGTTGATATAAGCCATAGTTATATCGTCATGTCATCGACCAACATGACTCAAATACAAGGTAAAGACATTGATACTATGTAACGAAATGGAAGAAAAATATAATAGTATAATTTATTTTAACCATGAAACACAGAATAATACTAAATCTTGATTGAGTCATTAATGGTCCAAGTTTGTAGGTGATATATGTGTCTGTTATTAATTATTTGCATGCTTGTTTGTCATAACTGTCTAGTTTTTGTTATTATTCATGCATTTCCATTTTCAATTTTTTCAAATTTTAATTTCAGTTTCTAAAACACAATAATACAATTTTCAACTTGTATTTATAGTTAATATGTTCCTAGAGATTTTTATTTTAACTTCTTTTAGAGTTTAATGGGCTGAAATCAAAATTTTAAGGTTAGATGATTTTTTTATTTTTTTATTTTTTACATTTTTTACATTTTTTGAGAGTCTCATAAAAAAAAATTATCTTTTTGTCAGTCTCTTTATATGTTGGACCATACTCATTTATTTTGTATGTCAAATAATTTTGATACATTGATAATTAAAAAATGACATTTAATACAAAAATATATTGAGTATTATTGAAAGAATTAGTCCATATTGAGAAGAAAATTATTAAAATTAATTTTCAAATATTTTTTTTTTATAAAAAAGGCCAAGTACATTAGTGACATCTTTGAACATTGACCTCTTTTTTTAATTGAAACTTAACACTTTAATTATTCTAAAATATGATTTATTTGAATGTTTTCACGGCTTTATTTGATTTATAATAATTTTATTCAGCTTTAAAACGTGAATCGTAAAATAATAAATTTGGAAGAAAATAAATGACGCACGTGCTTACCTCATCAATCGTGTCAATTGTGTTTTGATAAGGTGTAAACGACAACTCAGAGTGTTTGTCGTTCTGATAAGTGGTAAGCAACAACACTACAAGATAAACATATTTGTCTCTTTTTTAACTAATTTTTACATTTTTACAAATCAAATATTCTATATAGCTGTTTTAATATTGACATATTGTCATGTACTTGGGTTGTCACATTCTTTTGAACTTGTCAATTTGTAATTGCCTATCGCTCTTTTTTTTTTTCTTTTTTTTTTAATATTTTATTCTCCTAATAACTTAAATGGAATTAACACATAATAATTTATTTAAGATTAGTACTTATTATGTCTTTTTTTATTCATTTATTCAATGAAGTGAATAATTATACATTTTATTACGAAGCACGTGAATTGGGACACGATATGATGAAAGAATTCGTATTAGTCTATAAAGATAATTGAAGCAATAAAGTGCATGAAAATGTGAGTGAATCTGAAACATTTTATTGTTGAAATGTATTTTTTAAGGTGGGATAGCCTCCTGTGAAGTTGTTAGCTGAGCAACTTTATGATCCTAGGTTCAATAATTTTGTTGTGGTGTTAGTTTTTAAGAGAGAGATGAGCTCGTGGATCCCTTGAACTGTGGTATCCTCCTCAAGCACGCAATACTCTTTCCTCCCAACGTTTGCAGGGCATGGACGAACAGCAAGTAAACGTTCCCCTTTTGCAAGATTGTTCAGCAACACTACAACCCCATAATCAAGATATTGTAACACGCTTTTGGATCGAATCCAAGAAATTATGGCATATCGTCGGCCCTTCAATTTTCAGCAGGATAGTCTCCTACTCCATCCTCATAATTGCCCAAGCTTTCGCCGGCCACTTAAATGATCTTGATCTTGCTGCCTTTTCCATCGCCGTCACCGTCGTGATTGGCTTCGACATGGGGCTTCTGGTTGGTACAAAAACCGTAACTCTCTGTGTTAGCACCACCAACTCTGTTTTTCTTTAATTTGGTATGTTTAATTTCAGATGGGAATGGCCAGCGCTTTGGAGACGCTATGCGGGCAGGCGTATGGGGCGAAGAAATACTACATGCTGGGAATCTATATGCAACGCTCATGGATCGTTCTCTTCCTATGCTGCATTTTGCTGTTACCTATTTTCTTCTTTGCGTCTCCAATTCTGAAGCTCATAGGGGAGCCTCATGATTTGGCAGACCTCGCTGGAGTTTTATCCATTTGGATGCTTCCTATTCACTTCAGCTTCGCGTTTTACTTCCCATTGCAGAGGTTCTTGCAGAGCCAGGTGAAGGTGTGGGCGATTGTCTGGTCGGCCGTGGCGGCGCTTGTCTCGCATCTGGTGGCCAGTTGGGTGCTCGTGGTTCAGCTCAAAATGGGAGTGGTGGGCATTGCGGTAGCTTGCAACGTTGGTTGGTGCGCTATGCCCATTGTTCAGATCGTTTACACTACCTGCGGCGGCTGTCCCCTCACTTGGACTGGGTTCTCGGTGGAGGCCTTTTCTGGTCTCTGGGAGTTTGTCAAGCTCTCTGCTGCTTCAGGGGTCATGCTATGGTCTCTCCCACTATTAATCAACCTAAATCAAGCTCTGTTCTCTACTTTTACCAGTTTTTTGACAAAATCAAAGAAAAATTTTCAAGATCTTTTTTTTTTTAATTTTTTAATTTCATTATAGTGAGATGAAAAACAAGCCCACCTTTTTTCCCAATCAAATTCCACTTTAGACTCAGCCTATCAAAGTGTTGGAAGATCAAAAGTTGGCCAACTCGGATTGGATATCGGGTTGGCCTATGAAACAATCTATTTCGGCCATATCTGTATTGGCCTGTCAGGTCAGCCCAATGAAATCATCATTGGGCAAACCCAAATATGTGTAAACATATATAATCTTTTATATTAGGGTTTATTGTGTTTGTTTATGTGTGTGTGGTTAAGCTGAAAATTTTGTTTACAAATGATGAAATTTCAGCCTGGAAAATTGGTATTACAGAATACTGGTAGTGATCACTGGAAACATGAAGAACGCAGAGATTATGGTGGATGCTCTATCGATCTGGTTCTTTCTTTCTACAACTATTTTCATTTTTCTCTTCCAATTTTCTTTATATTCATCCGGAAATGAAAAGAATGAAAAAACTGGTAATTATTGTGATGGCAGCATGAGCATCAACGGATGGGAAATGATGATTCCTTTGGGATTCTTTGTGGGAACAGGGTAATCATCTATTTCAGAGCATCTTGTTATTTCTCCGAGTTACGATAATATATATTATAACGTTGAAAACAGAGTGAGAGTGGCGAACGAGCTCGGGGCCGGCAACGGAGAAGGAGCCAAGTTTGCCACCATTGTCTCCTCGGCCACCTCCTTAATAATTGGCCTCGTCTTTTGTTGCCTAATTGTCATCTTCCACAATAGCTTCGGTCTCATTTTCTCTCCTAGCGCCGTCGTTCTTCAGGAAGTGGATAAGCTCACCATTCTGTTAGCCTTAACCATTCTGTTCAACAGCATTCAGCCTGTCCTTTCTGGTATATCTCACAATATCTTGTCACTCAATGTGGAGTACCATTTAATATTATATGTTTAAGTGGATGTATACAGGCGTGGCAGTTGGGTCTGGATGGCAATCTTACGTGGCGTATATAAACTTGGGTTGCTATTATATCATCGGCTTACCTCTGGGAATTTTCATGCAATGGTTCACCGACCTTGGAGTTAAGGTAGCGCTATACATGAAATGTGATATCATAAGATGAGCTTATCCTTCGGTATGGATAATGATGTGTTCATACATATTGAAGGGAATTTGGATAGGGATGATATTCGGAGGAACGGGAATTCAAACATTGATATTGCTCCTCATTACAATTCGATGCGATTGGGAAGGAGAGGTACATAATTTATTTGATTTAATTTGAAAATAGTGTTAAAAGTGTTAGATGAATCCGACTCTCCACAATGGTATGATATTGTTACTTTGAGCGTAAGGTTTCATGGTTTTGGTGTGAGCTTCTCAATAAAGAAAGAGAGTATTATTTGATTATAAACGTACGAGGATTCCTTACGCAAATTAATACTTTGCAGGCTAAGAAAGCTGGGTTGCGTGTGGAGAAATGGAGAGATGAGAAGTTTGAGGCAAAGGAATGAACGATCTTGAATGGGGAGTGATGGGCTGACGACAAGGATGAAAAGGCCCGTCACTCCAGCCCCGACCAAACTGCTGCGCTCGGCCCGTTTGTTGCCCTTTTTGCACATTGACAAGACCCTTCATTCGTTCTCATCTATTTAAAATTTAGCTCCGAAAATAAACAATTATTTAATACCTTTTAAATTTTTACGAATTTTAAATTAAATTATCGTATATAATTTTCGGAAAAGCCAGTCCTTATCAGTAATTTCATACAATCAAACTTTGTCTGCCATTGGAGTCTAGTCTGATTGTTTAACATTTGTCGTCTTCTCATAATATCGTCCTTTTCTTATTTACAAGATAATAGATTACAATAATATCAACTTGTATTGGTTTCATTTCAAAAAGCAAAGCATAGTCTCTAAAATGTCAATTTTTTTTCCACATACCATATGGATAAGTTATGGTAAATGTCTCCCAAAATTTCATCGACATAGTTAGCTTTAAATTGATGAACTGGCAAGTGTCGAAAAATCTAACAGTATCTTCTAACGCATCAAAACTTTATGCATTGATTCGAATCTTTTAAGAAATTAAATGTTATACAAACTATGTTGTTTTTGTTTGGAGGTGATGAAGAATATAACCAATAATCTTGGACCATACATAATAATCAAAACATTTAAAAAGAGAGAAGAAGAAAATGTAAAATAAAAAAGAAAAACGTTTATTTAAAGATGAGGTTTGTGTAAGGAATAGGGTTGGCAACAAGGATTCGGAGAGTGAGATGGCGCACTGGGTTTTGTCTCTCGGCCACGGCACCCTCTATTTCGTCTCTTTCTTCTTCAATTAATTAATTAAATAAATAAATAAAACTGAACCAAAAAGTTCCCCATTTTATATTCCAAAAAGCATCAATGAGTGTGTGCCTTTTCCAAAAGAAAAATCTTTCAAAGCAAACACAAAAAGCCAATTCCTGTTTCAAACCACTACACCCCCAAAAAACACCCCATAAATTTCCAAAACAACCCTACAACACATTTATATACTTAATGATATGACCTATATCTGTATATATATATATATACACACACATACCTACATGTACACCAAACCCGACATCATACGGACTCGGGTTTTTCTTATCTTTCTCCTACTGTGTGGATCCGATAAGAGTATGAGGTGGAGAAAAAAAATGAATGGAATTATGGTGTATGAGATTGATAGTGATTTAGTGGGGAAAAGGTGGGGAAAAGGTGGGGAAAAGGTGGGGAAAAGGTGGGGAAAAAGGGGAAAAGGGGAAGGGGAGTTGAATTATGGTGCGCCCTGGCAGCAGGGCTTTGCCTGCAAGTCCCTCCAAAAATACTCTCTGTCTCTCATATTTTATTTCCATAAACAACAAAGCAAGAAAATCTAGTGCTTGCTATGTGGGTGTCTGCGCAGACCCACTTTTTTCTTTACTTTTTTTTTTTTTTTAATATATTATATAATTAAATAAAGTGGAAAAGAGTAGTTGAATACTTGTATTTTAATTTGCAATTCTATCAATGTGTTCCCAATTCATAATCATTACATGATAAGGTTCTTGTTGTACGGAATTACATCTTTAATGGACGCAATGTTACAAACTCACCCTGTATTTTGTATTTTTTTTCTCGCATAATATATTATGCATAATTGCTTTTGTTTTCACCTTTATTTTAATAAATATTCCACTTATTAAAAAAAAAATTCCATTCTGTGTTTCCAAAATTATTATTAAATGTAAATATACTCTTTTTAATTGGAATCATTATTGAATTATGTAATATTAGAGTGGAGAGATTAATGAATAATATTTAATATTAGTAAAGAAAAGTAATTATTAGATTTAGAAAGGGTCAAAGCAAATGATATGTTTCTGTAGGGTTACCGTCTAAACCAGACATATTTATCCACTTCAAAACAAGATATCATATCATATATATATATATTCATTCGATATTACTGGGATCTTTTGGGACAGCCATTTAATAACAATAAAGTAATTTTAAGTAAGTTAAATGAAATGTGGCCACCAATTAGGGTTCCGACGTGGGCTCATCGAGGCCATTGAAAATGAGTCATCATTCGGAATCAAATTTAAACGATAAATAAATAAATAAAGGTTATGGTATTTGTGAGCCAAAAAATTGAGGCAGAGGCATTAATCCTTGGATTTTGCAGAAAAGGTTGATCATGTGAACGTGGGGGCGTCTTCCGAATTGAGAGATGAGAGATAAAAATGATGAATCAATGAAACGTCCCTTTTCATTTGGCTTCACTATTTAAACCCCACACTCCCTCTACGCTCTTCAATCTCTTCATCTTCTCTTTAATGCCTTACTTTTCCTCCCCTATGGCCACTTACCCCGCCGTCAACGTCGCCGCCGTCGACTGCCAAAAACAAGTTCGTTCATGGCAGCTCTTCCGATCTCTTATTGAATTTCTCATCCCCACTTGCAATTGCGCCTTCTCCGAAGAGGAACCCACGTATTCCTCCAAACCCACCTTTCCCTCCACCTCCTCCTCTGCCACTTCCGTCACCGGAACTATATTCGGTTACCGAAGAGGGAAAGTCAACTTCTGTATTCAAACACACTCCAAGTCAACCAACCCAATTCTCCTCCTCGAATTGGCGGTCCCCACTGCTATTCTCGCCAGGGAAATGAGAGGCGGCGTTCTCAGAATCGCGCTGGAGTCCACTTCCACCGCCGCCGCCGTGAATTCCGGGGGGCGGTCGGTTCTGTCGTCGCCAGCATGGAGTATGTACTTCAATGGGAGGAAAGTGGGGTACGCTTTGCGACGACGGGCTTCAGCGGCGGACGTGGAGACGCTGCGGCGGTTGGGGACGATGGTGGAAGGCGCGGGAATTATGGGGGGGAAGGAAGTGGAAGGTGAAGGTGAAGGTGAAGATGATTACTTGATGTATTTGAGAGGGAATTTCGATAGAGTTTGTGGGGCGTCAGGGGACTCTGAATCTTTTCATTTGAGAGACCCAAATGGAAGCATCGGTCAAGAGCTCAGCATTTTCTTTTTCCGGTCAACATGATTTCATGGAAACCGACCGCCCCCCCTCCCCTGCTTTCCCTTTTTTATTTTGGAGCTGCGCTTTTTTGGGCAGGGCTTTTTCAGCTGCTCGCTGCTAATCATTCTTGCCTTCTCCCACCACCACCAGCTTCGACTTGTCGTTTTGATATTGAACATTATATATATATATATAAATGTGCCTATGCATATGTACTTATGTTTGCGATGTTAATATGAAATCAAAATTTGGGACTTTCTACTCAGCTTGCTTTGTGTCGTCCCTTTCTAAATTGGGTTATTGAATTCTACGTCTAGTATCGGATCAATGATTTGAGCGATACGTCCCAACTTCAATTCATTTTCATTCCACCTGCCCTGCTTTGGTTTTGAGTGGGAGTTCATGAAAGCAATTAGGCTTTTTGAGTATGTAGAGGGACAAGTAGGAGGTTGATTCAAATTAGTCACCATCTATATATTATATTATACCTCCTTTTTGTTTTTATCTTACCTCATCGCAATCACGATTAAGTGGAGAGTTCAACCTTCCCGATTATAATTATAATCATTAAACCATGAATACTTAGACCAATAAAAATGAGGGTTTAAGGAGGCGAAGTTAAATATGAAGAGATGCGTGCATGAATTGAGACTATGATTGATTTTGGGGTATGACAACCGGACACAAGACATGACCAATGAACCCAAGGTTGGAATAGTGAAGTTGATAAAACGATTGGCGTTTGGGGCCCTATGAATGAGGGCTTTTTGAAAAGAAGGAAAGGGCAACAAAATGGGGTATGTGGTTGCATGACCTGTTTCTGATTCCTTATGTCTTCACAGACATTAGGCCCTCTGCCTCTCATGTTCCACAATCAAACGTGGAAAGTTTCTCTCTTTTTCTTTTTCTTTTTAAATTTTTAAAAAAATCTACTAAATTTTGTCAACTTTTCATGAATTAATATTTAAATATGGTCAAAGTAGTTTGACTTATGATGATGAAAGGCATAAGTGCTCCAATGATTGCTTTATTAATCTACTGTTTAATCCACAAAAATGAAAACTGGATGGAAAAGGATGAGATTTATAAGAAACGTAAATGTTGGTCCTGAATAGTAATGTGCGATCCTGAAGGGCTGCAACTCAGAGCATGAACAGCAGGTGAGGGAACCAGGCACATGCTAATGCAACCCACAAGCCACAGTTGAAAACAGCCCTGATGGGTGAATCACCTGCACCATTTAGACATATTACATCATTGATGTAACTCAAAAGCACCAAAATGCAGGGCGTCGAACAGTATTCTGCGACCGATATAACACGGGTGTGTTTATTTGTCAATCAAAGTTGAAACACAAAACAAAACAAAACATCCCTTACATTCTTGGTTATCACCTACCAAATTGAAGATAATTGTTCTTGATGTTCCACTCAAAATCCCAGTGCTTCTTGTCATTCTTCAAGGTCCAATAAGTCCATCCAAAAGAAGCTGCATTATAAACCTCTAGCTGGGCCCTCCCAAAGTTTTGATAATCAGCCTGAGACCCATTTGTCACATTCCACTCATTCACCCATTCTCCTGTTAATGTTAATCACACTCATCATCTGTTAGGCCGACTTGGATTGACTTTCTAAATGCTTAAAAAAGTGTTTGGCTCTAAGTTTGATAATCTTAGACAACGAAAAAAGAGTAAAGAGACCGAGGTGGTCCGAGGCTTACCAACGAATACTAGGGGACCGTTTGCACTGTTTAAGGCCTGTATTTGAGTTTGCCTGTTCTTGTATATGATTTCTATGTTCTCCGAAGGGCTCAAGTGATCAAAGAAACGATCAAACAGATTGTAGTAATGCAAATCCACTACTAAATTATGAGATCCTATGTCAGCTTCATAAAGTTCCATAGGATCTGCTTTCCCAATTCTTTGGCAAATTATTACATAAGCTTTTGAAGAGTATTTACGGATTATATTGTATCCTTGTTTGTAATACGATACCAACGTGTCCAATGGAACTAAATCTGCCGATGGTTCGTTTAAAAGTTCAATTCCGAGCAAGGCTGGATGTTTTCCATACCTACAAAAAATATGCAGGAGATAGCCATACCAATGTCAAACTCTATTGAATTTGCCGCACCGAGCTTTAATAGTGTAACAGCCCAAGCCCACCGCTAGCAGATATTGTCCTCTTTGGACTTCCCCTCAAGGTTCTTAAAACGTGTTTGCTAAGGACAGACTTCCACACACTTAT